TGGGAACGACTCCTGAATATGCAGATGGACATCCAGGAGGTCATGTCCAGCACCAGGGTCCAGCCACCTTGCCTGTCGCTTGGACACCTCCCACATCAATAGCCCCTGGTGCCGAGCTGCTGGCTGCCCGGGCAGAAGCAATTCTGCCCTACAGTTTGGCCTGGAAACCCCATCCAGAGCTCAGGATGGTGAACCGCTGGTAAGAGGACACAAACAAACCAGTGGCTGACAAGCAGTGCCACAGGCAAGGAAGGAGCCAGCCTGGAGTTCAGGTGCTACCTATCCCCCATGGAAAGCACCCAGGCATTTCCAACATCTCCCACCATGGGGGCATGGAGGCATCTTGGCTAGCCTGGAGGTCTGTAGTTTACGAAATGGCCAGGAAATGGAACAACACAGGAAAAGCAGCAACCAGAGTCCCTTGTTCACCACAGGTGCTCTAGAGGTAGTGCCACAGCCGGCAGAGCTGGCATCGCTCTCTGCTGAGCACATCCCAACTCCAGCCCCAGGATAAACCTACCTGCCCCAGGGGCACACGTGGCTGTCAGACCTTCATGTGGGAGCTGTGGGTAGGTGGACAAAGCCTAGCCACACCTGTCACTCCTGGGCCTTCGTCTACTTTGCCTCCACATGCTTACTGAGTATGGCAATGTTTGGTGTATTCATTCAGGAGGCAGGAAGCTGTGGATAAAAGCAGCTGACATCAGACAGTCAATATCGTTCAAGGATATTCGCCCTCAAAAGACAGGTCACAGCGAAATCCCTGGCAGACAGCCTTTCTGGCTCAGTTGCCTTTTATTAGAGCAGTAAGCACATCCTCAACGCCTCAGAGACTATCCCCTGTTGGGTTTTATTCAACCTCTTTTCTTTGAAAATGATCCTGTATTTTGAAGGTTGCAGTTCACCATTCATATATTATTAAGCAATGGCTAAATTAAGGACATGTGCATAACCCAGACTTGGCTCCTTGAGAGCTGCCTGGCTGCCAGACAGCCCTTTGTAAATATCCCAGGCTAATTCTCAGATTCTGCAAATAGGTTCCTTGGGTCTTTCCATCAGTGGTTCCTCACCTGGAAGCAGACAAAAACAGAAGCTGGCTGGGGGGTTCTCAAATGTTTTCAACACCCAGACCACATCTGAGGAACAGGGTTTCCTTGTGCACTCGTTTGCCTGTTTGGCACGGTGAGATGACCTCATTGCTAATTTCTAACCACACAACTTCCCACTGGCTGATGCTTGCGGCAATATCATTCCACATGAGCTCAGCCCCATAGTGTGCCAAGGTGAGGCAGGAAAACCATTGGTACTGCTCATTGCCCTGCAGCAATCCAGAGCTGGTTCAATGCAGAGCATCATGAAACGGCACTCTTTGCTAATATGTGGGATTACATAAACAGGAATTGTAGGTAACACAACTTGTAAGGGGAAAGCCCCTGTGTCTGCTCGTGCTGGAGGCAGTGCAGACAGGCAGGGCCACCCAGAAGTGCTGACAGCCAGGGCACAGGGCACAGCCCAACCACCCACCTGTCCCTGGCACTGCTCGGGGATGGGGGAACCATCTCAAGTGTGCT